AGACCTCATCTCTACAATAAATCAAAAAAATCAGCCGGGTGTGGTAGCGCATGCCTGTAATTCCAGCTACTCGGAAGGCTGAGGCGGAAGGATCGCCGGAGCCCAGCAAGTCGAGGCTGCGGTGGCCGCGAGCGGCCACTGCACTCCAGTCTGGGCGACAGAGTGAGACCCCAACTCAAAAAAAAAAAAAAAATGTTTTCGATTTGTTGGTTGAATCCGCGCATGCAGAAGGCGCGGAAACAGAAGGCGCACTGCATACTGAGGGATATCTGTTTCTACAGATCCTTTAAATAGACCCTTGTTTTCAGCCAGAATTTAATGTCCAAACTGTCCTGTTGAGGCCCCACCTGGAGTTTAGCAAAGTTTGCTAAGTTGGATTTTGTAAGAGCACTGTCTGCTCCATTACTGAAAGCCATTACCAGAAACTGTTCTATAAAATTGATTGGGTCTCTGGTTTTAGTATGTGCATTACTTTATCAGGGACCTCTGTGGTAGAATTCACGAGAAGATGCTCTGATTTCCGCATCAGAAAACATCGTGAGTTTTTTGAGAAATGTTTTATCATTTTTAAAAAAAAATCTTAATGTGCCCTTTTCCGCTTCTCCCTTGGCTCTACTTTCTATATCCTGATGAATCCTAAATCTATATTCAGACTTCTAGCCTCTGGACATGTAGATTCACCTGGCAGTTTCTTTAATTATTTTAAACTCAAAGCATAAAATCTCCCCAAACCCGAATGTTTAAACTTAAAATCTCCAAGGTGTGACTCATGGGCAATGAAGGGATTACTTCTCTTCCTCCTCCCCTCATTAAAGCAGTTTCTCTTATCTGCTCTTTGAATGGTGTCACTAGGCATCACAGCATCTACAGGCTTAAACCAACACCCTAGAATTCACAATAGGTATCTTCCTCTCCCTTGGTTGCTTTGGGGCAGAGAAACACACTTAACACTTTGCTGACCCTTTAGCAACTCTTGCAGAATCTATCACATTATTTTACATCTCTTTGCATCTTATCACTTCGCCCTCTTGACTGTATGCTCCTTACTACCAGTGATTTTTGTTTATCCTTTTCTAAACTGACACGTAGTTCAGTGTCCAGTATATAAAATCATACTACTTTGTAAAATGGAGCTGCATCTGCCTGCTTTTAAACATTACTACAAAAGACATAACCAAATTGCAACGTGGTAAAACAACCACAAGCTAAGGCTGACAGAAGTAATGCTTTCTGAGCCTGAGTACACAAGACTGTAGGCAGAATCAAAGATACAGTGTCTGTACTTCTCTTTTGAAGGGGATCAGTATATGCTGCCCTCAAATATGCCACATTTGGCTTAATTATTTTGAGCTGAAGGTATTTGAGTGTCTAAAATCCCTTATCTGTCCAAAAGCAGAGCCTCCCAAAAAAACCTAAATATTTTAACTCAATTGTCATAAATCTCCAAGACTAGTAGCAACTCTAATCTTCTCAGAGATGAACAATTGACACCACACCCAGACAGATGTTGTCATAAGACTATCATATTCTATTCTCCTAAGGGCTCATTTATCTTTCCAAAAAGGCATTTGTTGTTCCCTAAGTGTCCTTTCTTCCCCCTCCCTTTCCACTACTAAGTTAGGAATATACACCCTAAATTCTAACCACTCCTTTGTATATGCTTGATGCACATATTAATAAACTTGTTTGTTTTTCTCTTGTTAATCTTGTGTCAGTCTAAATAGTAAGGCCCCAGCTAGAGGAACCTAGAAGGGTAGAGGGAAAAGATTTTTTTTCTCTCCTATAGTTTGAATACTTTTCATCCTCTGAGGGGCCTAATCACCCATTACTTAAAATTGGCTCCAAAATAAATTCTCCCTTTCCCTGTTGCAAGTAAAAGTTATTCCAAGAGAAAGCACTTCACACTCAGGTGTGAATCACTAGCTGAGATATTTGCGGTAAGGTGTGACACTCATGGGGACTGGTGGGAGATTGAATCTAACTGGTGGAATTAAGATGGTTACTTTTTGAAGAGGCAGTGGGCATTCATTGAGCTTCTAAACAAGTTTTCCACCTAAAACAAAAGTATTGGCAATTCTTTCCAGAGAAGTTTGGGGAAAAGTCTTTTAGAACAATGTGAGAATCTCCCAATTAGCATAGTGCTTAAGCAGGTACTAATTTAGCACAACTGTCCACAATCAAGCTGATAAGTTGTGCTGGGGAAGAATAGGCAGCCACTGCTCGTTGTTGGCAGGAGTCAGTTGATTTCAACAGTTTCATAGAGAGTTGGCATCTGCCCTGCACTCCCTGTTAAATCTTAGCATATTTCAGCTGAACTACTCTAGGTAACGATCAGAATTCCTTCTCTTTGATTTTCCATCAGGTCAGAGTTACTTTGCTTCAAAACTGGTGTTTCACAACCTAATAAGGAAGGCTGTTTGACAATTCAGTTAAGCTCATTCAGTTTGGTCCTCGCCTCCTTTCCAGGCTTGTCTACCAGTCATATATCCATCCTACCCACTCTAGCCACACTAAGCACTCTATGGATTCTGAACACACTACAATTTACAGAGTCTTTCACATGTCAAGTTTTTCAGCAGTCCGTTTTTTTAGACTTAAAACAATTATAAAATTAGGTATGTTTTGAATGTTTACATTTGATGGGGACCAGAAAAAATTCCCCCAAAATATAGTGCTTTGGCAGCTGAATGCTTTACAGATTAAATCCAAGGGCAAGCTTTCCCTCTTCCCTCTAAAAGTTTAGACCCCCCCCCCCCTCTCCCCACCTCCCCTGGGAGTTGGTACTAGAGAAACATAAATAAAGTTTGCTAACTAGCTAAATAGATCTGCTATTTATTTGCCTTTTGCCAAGTTGCTGCCCCTAGAGACTCAAAGTTGTTTTCCTGTCTTGTCACTTTTTAAAAAAATTCACTCTTCTTTGTAGAAGATGTTATATAAGCTATAATTCAAGGCCACCTCTTCGAGAACTACTCATTCCCTGGGTGTTGCCCATGTACACTTGTAATATACATGTTAATAAATTTCTGTTTGTTTTTTTCTTGTTGGTCTGTCTTTTGTTACAGGGGTCAGTTCCAACTGGGAACCTGTGATGTTAAAAAAATATAAAAATATATAGAAATTTTATTAAAATATAAAATTTTATAAAAATATAAAATTTCTGCAATATGTAAATTAAATCTCATGAGAGTGATTACTGGACTAAAAATATACTTGTATAGCTTTAAAATTCTGTGTGTAACATACTACTTGATCCTAGTATGTTCCAGTGGAATATCTTCTATAATAAAGTCAGAAATTGTATACATTTTAAGCTGTACAATACAAGTAATAAGTGTTAAGGACCTGTAGAAAGAAGGCTGTAAGATTTTATCCAATGAGCAGCATACTGAAGTAGTGAGTTTATCTTAGTATGGGGTAAGGAAAAACTCAAAATTCTATGGCTTTCAGCTTGATCTAAGGCTGCAGACCATTCTAAATGAAATCATATCAGGCACAGGGCCTCAGCTTGGGACACTTATAATCCTGGCATAAGTGAAACAACAACAACAAACTAAAAACAAACTGCCTTCCTGGAATTTCTATTTTAACTTAGTCTATTACTTTTGTATTAAAAATAAATACATGTACATACAACATATTACTTGCCTAATAATTCACTTATCAAATTTTTCTTTTGCCTCCTTATTTCCTGTGTAGTAAGTTTTAAACTTCTCATGCCTATTTTCCTGGAAATTCCAGTTCTCAGTCTTCAAACTGCAGGCAGCTTATAATTTTTGGTGAAACACAGCTGCAGAAAGTCAGAAGTTCTTCTGCATCATAAATCTGCTTCTGATAAAGTGGTGGATTAAGAACTTACAGGAATATCACTCTACTGTCCGATGCTGGGACTAAGTGAAATTGAACTAATATGGATTTTAATTATGAAAGGTGACTTCTAAGACAACTGCACATCAGACTTATAGTCTGAGAAATGTTACCTATAGCCTTTAAAAGTTCACAGTTTTGATTGTCATATTTAATTTGTTACCCAGGAATTAATAATTAAATAGATGTTTGTGCTTTCTGAAATGTAGAAATTATTATAAGGTTTTTTGTTTTTTTTTTAAATTAAGCCAGGGAAGACCCTTGGACTGTTTTCTAATCCTCTATTATAAAAGTAAAATAAATTCCATGGTGCATAAATTCTATACTGTTTTAATAAAGAGTTTGAGGATTTTTTTCATATTTAACTGAACACATCCATACTTACGGTCAAGAATGCACACATCATAAAGGAAGACTATTACAAAGAAATGTGACATCTGTGTGGGCTACCTTAGGCTGCCATCCAGATAGATTCCATGAGGTTGTTTCCCCTTCTGATAGGAATAGTTCTGTAAAAAAGTTTGAGAAAAACTGGATGGTTTGATTGCATGTTGCAAAAATGCTTCTGTGCTTTAAAATGTACCCCCTAAGCCCCTAAGATGAAACAGGACATTTCATCATTATAATTTCATTCTTTTGCTTCAGAATATTATGCAAGCTCTGTTATTTATCCAGGACAAACCATGATTTTTCTGAGACTCAGTGTTCGTATCTGTAAAGGAGAAAATTAACATCTATTTCACAGAGGAGGGATTAAATAATACTTGTATAGTGTATGTAGAAGAACTTTTAAACATTGAGTGGTGCTTTCTATAGGTAAGAAGTTATTATAAAAACCACCACAGAAAGTAATAACATTTGTTCACATCAGTTGTGCTTTTGTATAACATTTCATTTTTTAATTTATTTTGTAGAGACAAGGTCTCACTATATTGCCCAGACTGGTCTTGAACTCCTGGCCTCAAAGGATCCTCCTGCCTCAATCTCCAAAAACACGTGTTGGGATTACAGGCATGGGCCACCACAACCTAACCCTTTTGTATGATATTTTGTCTGTCTAGAGAAGGCTGCTTCTGCCTGCGAGACTCTCGATGATATTAATAAAATGGACAAGAGTCCATGAATGAGGCTATGTCTATAAACAGGACTGCCTAGGGCTCCTTTACTAAAATCATTGTTCAGGAAATCCCCTTAAAATCCCTTTTATTTTACTTTGACTTCAGTAGGAACATAATGATTCACAATGACATCATCAAAATAAGTTTTAAACTCCTTGGGCCTGCTTTTGTTCTCAGGTATGAGTTTTTATAAGGTTATTATGCAATTATTTTCAATAAAATAGGTATATGAGTAAAAGTTTCATTGTTAACGTTTAAGTACCAGTAACATTTATATAACATTGTCTTATGACATGCACTTTTCTGAACAGTACATACTTCAAAACAATCTAAAATAACTAAAAAGCAAAGGATCCTTACTCTCTTTGAAAAGAATAAGAAAAATATTAAGTTTTAAGCATTCGAAAATATTGTCTCTAATAAAGAAAATGTTAGCAACTCAGTAATAGATGAATAATTTATTTGCTTTGAAACTGATTTGTAATCTTGCTGTTAAGTACTTGAGTATTTACAAACTGTTATACATTGTAAAGGAGAAATTAATATTTCTGGTGTTATCCTTCATTGATTTAGAAGCAGGTCATCTGCAGGATTTAACTGGCCATTGATGTGGGGGTGAAGAAGAGGGAACCGCATTCCAGGAGGGATGGCTAAAAACAAGGCAGAGACTCTAATATCAGGTTGGTTTGGTCAGCACACTACAGACGAAAATGGCTTTGGCTGCGCTTTGATGTCAAGTAAATAAGCTAAATTTTTTATTTCTACAGCTACATATTGGTTAAGCTTCAATTACATTATAATGCATATAATGTGCAGAGTATGGTGCCAGACGCAAAATAAATGTTACCTATGATAGAGTTACAGTAAATGGTGACTTTAAACATTTGCCTGAAACCTAGCTCATAGGCTTGTATTCAGAAAAACCTGTTAAACCATGCAAAAACACCTTATCCATTTATAAAAGCTACATCAACTTAAAGGAAAGATCCAAACTCTGTGATCTATTAGATCATAGCATAGAGGAGAAAAGGAGGAGGAATAAGGGAACGATTCGCAGAACAATCTTCTGCCGCAGTAAATAGGATTGAATAGGATTGAGTTTTAGCCAATGACATTAGAAGTCCGGAAATTCCTAACCTACTCAGGCCCAATCAAAAAGATGCTTTGTCTATAAATAGGACTGCCGAAGGCTTTTTTTTTTGACTACAACCAGTGAGATACCATGGCGCGTACGAAGCAGACCGCCCGCAAGTCGACCGGCGGCAAGGCCCCGAGGAAGCAGCTGGCCACCAAGGCGGCCCGCAAGAGCGCGCCCGCCACGGGCGGCGTGAAGAAGCCGCACCGCTACCGGCCCGGCACCGTGGCCCTGCGCGAGATCCGGCGCTACCAGAAGTCCACCGAGCTGCTGATCCGCAAGCTGCCGTTCCAGCGGCTGGTGCGCGAGATCGCGCAGGACTTCAAGACGGACCTGCGCTTCCAGAGCTCGGCCGTGATGGCGCTGCAGGAGGCCAGCGAGGCCTACCTGGTGGGGCTGTTCGAAGACACCAACCTGTGCGCCATCCACGCCAAGCGCGTGACCATCATGCCCAAGGACATCCAGCTGGCCCGCCGCATCCGCGGGGAGCGGGCTTAAACTAAGTACGTTTTTGAGCAGTCGATCCAAAGGCTCTTTTCAGAGCCACTCACGTTTTCATCAAGAGCAGCTGTGTCAGCTTTCCACCTAGTCTGCCTCTACTATGCCGTACCTTTGTTCTCAGTAGAGGATTATCAGGGACACTGGCTGTGGGGGGTGAAGTTATGAAATCCGAATGCCCAACCTTTGGTTGACCGGCGATAACTGGAAACAGCAGACGCGTGGGCTTTGGTTCCGGCCCGGGTTTATATGCTGGTTTAGATCTAGAGAGCTAATTCCCCGTACAAAATTTTGCATGGGGGCAAGAGACATTGTGCCGAGCTGCGAGATTCTTCAAAGTAAAAGTCCTTTTCCCGGTTTTATAGGTTATATAAGCCTAGTTTATAGTTCTGTATTTTCCTCGCCGCAAAATACAGGCGACGCACAAACCAGAATAATTTAAGGAAGTGAATACCTGGCGGTGGGCTCAGTCTTGTTCCAAGAAACGAGGGGGAAAAAGTAAAATGATTCAAAAACGGGAAAAGTAGCTAGCGCTTAAGATCTTTTGCATACAAAGATACAATTGAATGAAAATCAACAAAGGCAGGAAGTCCCCAAGCACTTGAAACTATCGCTTTACGTAATTTGCTGTTAGTGTGAATCGAAGCATTTTGATTGGCTAACAAGACTTTTGCTCTAATGACCACTAAGAAGGCACAACCAGAATCTATTATTTACATAGACTCCACCCATCAATGACGATTTATTGTAAGTTAACCAATAAAAACGCAGCACTGTGTGAGTCTTCATTTGCATACAAGCTCTATAAGTATCGCGTAACCAGCCCGTTCTGCTGTAGTCGGGAATTGCTTCTTTCGGCGTGTGTTGCTTCTTCTGCGGAAAATGCCGGATCCAGCAAAATCTGCTCCTGCCCCCAAGAAGGGTTCTAAAAAGGCTGTGACGAAGGTACAGAAGAAAGATGGCAAGAAGCGCAAGCGCAGCCGCAAGGAGAGCTATTCTGTTTACGTGTATAAGGTGCTGAAGCAGGTCCACCCCGACACCGGCATCTCGTCCAAGGCCATGGGCATCATGAACTCCTTCGTCAACGACATCTTCGAGCGCATCGCCGGCGAGGCGTCCCGCCTGGCGCATTACAACAAGCGCTCGACCATCACCTCCAGGGAGATTCAGACGGCCGTGCGCCTGCTGCTTCCGGGAGAGCTGGCCAAGCACGCTGTGTCCGAGGGCACCAAGGCGGTCACCAAGTACACCAGCTCGAAGTAAAGGTGCGCAAGCGACGCAGTCGAGCAACTACCCCAAAGGCTCTTTTCAGAGCCACTTCCGTCATCCGAGAAAACAGCTGTAAACACTTGTTAGCTTTTGTTTAGGTAGGGGTTTTGACTGATCACGAATGCATTTGGTCTCGGGAGTAGGGAGCCTCCTAGTTTGGTGTTGCCTGGTAGTGAGTGTTGTGTTAGCAAATGGTCAGTCTTTAATTGTCCCTATCCTAGTCTGAGAAACGCAAGTGGGTTTGCTCATCTTTAGGGTTTTGGGGGGAAGAAGGGTGCCCTACCACCTCACCTGTTTGTCGATGGCTGAAGAAGATGAGGTTCATTTTTCTAATGTGCAGAATATTACCTCACTCCGGCAGGCATCCTATAGCTATGTGCTTTTCATCCGTTTGTCTATCTGTAAATCCTGACCTAGCCATCTTCCCCTAACTTCTAGCCCAGTGGTTTCAATTAGGGAGATAATTTGACCACTCTCCCCGTAGGATATTCGGCAATGCCTGGAGATATTTTTGGTTGTCATGATAATGGGTAGAAGTTAGGAATGCTGGTAAGCATTTTGTTATGGCACAGGGCAGTCTTGGGGGACAGAGTTGTCTGCCCCCTGATGTCGATCCATAAGATTGAGAGACTCGGGGCTCAACAACCCTAACCCTCATTTCAGCCAACCCTTACCTATCCCATGTTATTGCTCTTTACTTGGTAAAAGCTGAGCACTTCACAGAATGTTTACAGGTCCTTCCCTGCAAGAAAACTATCTCCTGCAAGGCAAGAACATTGTTTTGGTTCTTTAACAAACTTTACTGATGATAAGAATCACTGCAGGTGCCTCTTTTGAAGTTTCCTTATTAAGTTAGGTTGGAAGTGGGACCTGGAAAGGTGGTTTTAGCATTCTCAGGGTGCGTGTGGGTGTGTTTTAGTAGGTTTCTGAGGTATTTGTTGCCTGTGTGTTCGGATGCCAAATGACAATCACCTGTGGATAGGTGTGTTACATATGTTCTGGGAAAGGCAATAATTTTAGGATGAGTGAAGAGGGTATACAAAAACGACAGTTAATATATGGGATGAATTTCTGCAGATCTCTCAGTTCAAAACTTGTATAACTCCAGGCTCATTATGACACAAGCTAGCGGGTATTTTTATCAAATAAGATATATCCTTGGGCAATAGGAAAATCTTGGTTTATAATTCACTTGACAAGCCATTCTCGATAAATCTTGGGGAATTTGCATGGCAACTTTGTTTAAAATTAATTGTATTAATTTCATAATGTCAGAGTCAAAATTTACACCCAATTAGAAGTTGCATAAAATATAGTGTATTTATTTCCTTTTTTTCCCACTGGAAAATTAGGATTTCTAGGTGAGTATCTTTCCCTGGTCTTTTTCTGGTGACCACCAGACAAGAGTCCAGAGAAAGGTAATTGAGAATCTAAAATTCCTACTGAAAGAAATCATATGCAGCACATTTTATGGTGGGAAAAGTTATTCAATAAGTGAGAAGGCCAAAGTGTTCAGTTTTCTACCCAGTTAAGCCATCAGAGAGTCTATCCAATCTCCTAGCTCCAGGGTCTGCAGTAAGGAGTTCCCTTTTTTCCAGAGGACTAGGAACCATGTCTCAGGGTCTCCTAAACTGTTAAAGCATCGACAACTGACTTGACTACTCAAAAGCTACCATTCATTATCCATTGACTAAAGGATTAACTTCAACCTCCTCACCCTGAAACTAAAAGACCTTTTATGTCTGGCCAAAACTTGCCTTCTTCAATGACTTATTCTCCCCCATCCTCCTACGTTTATCTTTTGTCTTACTGTTCCCCTGAGTGTTAGTACCCAATCTTTTAGTCCTGTAGTCTCAAAGCCTATCTGCCAGGTCTTTCAATTCTTGCTCAAATCTCACTCAAGAAACCTTTTCATCTCATTGTAATTCTCAGGGAAGTCATTCTCTCGTTTATAGCCGTGTTCCTTGCACAATTAACAGTTGTGTAACCTTGTGAACTGTTGTCTTGTTCTTCAATTTTTTGTGTTTTTACATTTTGTTGTTGTTGTTGTTTATCTTTTACTAGAGACATAAACTTCTTTGGTATTCCACAAAGGCTATCATAATATCTACTATAAAATAGCTTTTCAATGAAAGTTTGTTGACTGCCCAGTCACTAGAAAATTGACTTAAGCATGGTAGGTTTAAGTACTCCTATATTTTTCCCCACTTTTTTCCTAATTTGTTCTTGCTCCTTTAACCTGGGACACTCTTTTAATTGCCCTTAATAATTACCCAATTTAAACTGCTTGAGATTCAAAAATCCTACATGTGGCAGTGTTCCTTCAGCCAATGTGTCTTTGGAGCCAAAATGATGAGATTAGAGGGGAACTTTTTCACCCTGGATTAAAGTGCTGGGGAATTCTGCTTTTCCCATGTTTTGAACAAGTATGAGGAAAGAAGTACATTCCAGAAAATAAAAAAAGGTGTCTGGTATTCGTATAAGGGGCCTGGATATGGTCAAGTATCATTGAGATTGGTTATGTTATCTTTTCAAGGACTGGTGAATGAATTGTGGTATGTGTAGAAACCTACAAAGATGATGATAAAAGATGACAGTTTAATTTTCTGTTATGATTTTTAGATAGTTTATTTTAAAACAATGCAATTCCTACAGTTGATCTAAAAGCCAATCTTAATACAACTGAATTTAGACAGCTATAATGCAAGCACAGAAAAACATGAAAAATAAGTATATAATTTCTTTGTGAGATAAAGTAAGTTATCAAATAATGTCAGTGTTTAACAAGGAAAGAACAAGATTGTTTTTGAGAATTACTAGATATTGGTAGAGTTTTTTTCCTGTCATTTGGTAAACTATAGCTTAACTCTAGCAGATAATATGACTTGGCAAAAGTGGAAAACTTGATAAAACTCTTCTGAGTTCCACAATTCAACATCAACAAACTTTTCAAAAGTAAAAGAAGACTGTTTCTTCCTTATGTATTGTCAAATATATATTGAACACATAACACGAACAAAGTAGTAAAATAGAGGATAAAAAGTTACACATTCATCTAAGAGAGGGGATTATACTAGCACAAAGAAAATTACAATTCAAGCAAGAAATGTAATCCCCAAAAAAGGATTCAAAAGGAAACATTACATGAGTTGAGAGTTTAGGAAAGCTCCAGAAGAGAACTTACATGGTTCTTGGTACTGTGCGAAGTGATGGAGATACTAAAGTGCTCACCTCCCCAAGTCCATGAAGTTCAACTGGAATTGTCTTTGTGACCAGTATATCAAGAATTTTCTGGGACTGCTTTAGTTTTAGTTATACCCATTTTTCACAGTAACCTCTTTCAACTTCTTAATTATCTGATTTGGGTAGATGGAATTCTCCATCAATCTAGACTTATTCTGTGATTAGAGGTTGTTAATTCTTCACCCCTCATCCACATTGAAACTTTTTTTTAACTTTAATATATCTCTTTAGAAATTTTTAAAATTTCACATAGATGATTATTTTATGTCATTATATTGAACAACTATGACTATCCCACCCTCCTACCTGCAGAGTGCAAAGCAATTTTAGTCACATCATACTTGGCTTTCAGCATCTCAGAACTGTTGGAGCTTTGTTTACAATGCTCCTAGCTTGAGGGAAATTTGGTTTCTTGATATTAATTATCTTTTCTTTGGGTATGTCTATCAGAGTAGTGAGTGAATAGGCCTTATCTTAATCACCCCAACTGCAATTTATCTGAAAGTTCTCTTAGCTCAAAAAATGTTCATTATCTAACATATCTCACCACTTCCGCTGCTATTTCCCTGCTCCAAACCACCACCATATCGCCTGGATATTTGCAATGGCCAAGTGGTCTCCTTGCTTCTGCCTTTTCTCTCTGTATTTTCCACAAAGAGGCTAAATTTTTTGAAGCATATGTCAGATTATATCATTCTCACACACCCCCCCCCCCACTAAAAACCCTTCAATGGTTTTGTTTCAGGCCAAGGCTCTGGTAATGGGGGTTTCTTATATCTCTCATGTTTGATTCGAAGTTTATCTAAATGTACCAAGGTAGCTTCTTTGTTGTAATTTTCTATCCTCTTCCCATTCAAGGAACTATTAGCATGATTGGACCTTGGGTCATGTGGAAACTGCCATAGACCTTGCTAATTCAATCTTGGGGGGGTTGGTGAAGGGATTAGGAGATCTTGATGCATGCTTTTGTTAATTTAGCTTTGGGACTTTGTTAATTTAGCAAGGGACTATGGAGTATTCATTCTGAGTAAGTTGTACTATTGAGAAGTAAGTTTTTTGGAGTGAATATACCGACTCAACTCTCTGATTCCGTGGTACATCAGATTAAAAACCCATTTCTCCCAGTTTCTGCCTCTTGTCTTGACTGGCTGCGAGGAGCAGAAGCCAAATTTTTGGATCAGACAGTAAAAGTGTCAGAGTGAAGGTCCACATCTACCTCTCCAGCCTCATCTCTGACCACTTTCCCTCTTGTTTGCTCCATTTCATTATACTTTTCTCCTTGCTCCTCGAATACACCAAGGCCCTCCTGTCTCAGGACCTTTGCACTTGCTATTTCTTCTTCTCAAAAGGCTCTTCCCCAGACATTTGCATGACTGGCTTCTTCTTTTCTTGTAGATTACTGCTCAGAATGTACCTTAACAACTTATCATTAAGGCCTTCCCTGAGCATCATATATAAGATAACAAGCCCACCTCCCCTCCCTCCCCTCACTTCTTCGTACTCTTTATCCCTATAACTTTCTTAATTTACCTCCATATACCATCTTAATACTAGTGTGTTTAATTACTTGTTTGTTTATTTCTGAATCAGACTGATATTCATAAGAACTATTCTTCTCTGCTTACTTTATGTCCTTGCCTTCTGGGCGTGTGGCTTTTCAATTACAAGACTAATTTACAGCTTCTCTTGCCTCTGGGTTTTTCCAACATTCTGGGCCAATGAGATATGAATGGAAGTTATATGTGTCACTTTTAGTTTGTGTCCTATAAAGGAATAGTATGTACCACGATTGCCCTTTCACCCTTTCTACTGGCTGAGGG